ATCCATGGCATTATCAATGTTGTCAAAAAGTTGTATCAATTTAAGCATTAACAAGGATCACTATAACCAAAGTCATACAATGTATTATGTCTAGCTTGACTGATTTAAGCTATATAAATTTTATTAATATGCAGAACTTATGAATATATAGGAGATCAACCGCGTACAATTATTATATTCATCTTCAGTTTNTCACGAGTCGGCCTGTCGGTTATTGCACCATTATTTGTTCACAAAGAAAATTACGAAAAGTAGAAAAGTATATTATTGAATATAAAAATCTAACTCTTAACATTTTATTTTATTTTTGCAACTTAGAACGTTCAAATTTAATAAGCCTGTTTTGTGAAGTGGAGTAAAACGGCGAGTCGAGTTCCTGATGCTCGAGCTCAAGCTTGAGCTCGAACTTTTATTGAACCGACTTGTTAACTAAATGAGTATTCATCAATATTAACGAATCGAGTTCGAATTACATTTGAATAGAATTATGAAAAATTACTTAAAATTCTCTATTTTCATACCTATCAAGTCTTGAGGAGTCGATCGAGATCAACTCAACTTGATCAGTTACTGGACAAGCTAAACTTAAACTTTAACGAGTCAAACTCATGAGCAATTCGTTTCACTTAATGGCTCTAGTCCTATTTGTATATATAATACTCGATCGATACTCCTTGTAGAGTTATATTGTGTGGATTAATTTCTATATGTTGCTTATTATCATATAATTTAATTTACTTATTTACACCATAAACGCTAACAAACTTACAGANAAAAAAAAAAAAAAAAGTTACTACCACTTGGCCTACAAAGTAATGTCAGGAAAATTGTTACTTGTTACCAACTCTAAATCAGCAAGATCTCAATCTACGCGTATAACTAAATTAATGGTCAACGAGATAAGATCATAAGAATGTAGATAATTTTAAAAAGACTATTTATTTTTCATTTAAATTGTTTTTATATGACCTGGACCAGAAAATTTTCCACAATATTACGCAACAAGACATGACCTTAGTTCGCCTGATTTCAAAATTCTTCTTAAAGTTCACGAGTCAAACAATGTGTCCCCATCTTCCAAATTTCAACCACTATATAACTTCTTTTTCTCTTTCAATTTCTTAAAAGTGCTAAATATTTATTAAAAGTGCTGAATAGTGGTCACGCCATGTAAAAACACTTGATAAAAAATTTGGTAATTTGTGGCTAATTAATTAAGTTCGCTTGTTTTATTTTGGTCTCGTCTACTAAAGTTGCGACCATATGATCTTGTACAATAATTAATTTTCTTTTTCTTCTGATATTTAGATCAAATTTCAAGTGGGTGCACCAATTTTCATGACATTTAATTTGCTAGTGTGAAAAAAAAGGACATTTATTGCACCATTTTACTTAGCGAGACAAAATTCCTCTCGTCACTCATGCAAAGTCTGTTAATTTGGTCCGAGTCTTGCCACTTTCATAGTAGTGCATAAGGATTGTCAAGATTATAGAAACTATAGCCAATGTGTGTGTTATGTGTACATATAATTAGAGCCTACTAGAGCTCGAGCTCCTGAAATTCGAGTTCAGGCTTAGGCTATTAATGATTTGAGTTTGAACTTTAATAAGCTGAGTTCGAACTTTAATAAGTTGAATTATGCTAAAAATCTAAAAAAAAAAATCATATAAAATTTTTTATTTATCAAGCCTAATAACACGAGCCCAAATTCGAATAAAAGCGATTCATTTCGTTTGACAGTTCTATTATATATATAAAATAAACAACCAATAATGTTATTTGTGCAGTTCCGTCTTTAGTCCACTGATAGTGGCATCAAAGCTATCAACACCACTATGAACGATGTTTAGGGTTTTTTCTTGGGAGAAAGTAGTTATAAATGTATATATGACCTTTTTTTNTCCTTTTGGAGTTATATATATGGAAGTTCTCAAAGTTTTGGTACCAATAATATTATATTGTACCGTTGAATAACATCCTAACATTATCTCTATATATATAGTGTATAAGAATCAAATCATGCTCGAACTTCTAATACTCAAACTCGTTTAACTTAACAAGTTGATAAATGAGCCTGAACTTAAAGGAATCGTTAAATTAGTTCGTGTATAATTTATAAAATATTTAGTGAAATTAGTTATATAACTCTTTAATCTAGAGTACATGTACATATTTCATGTCTAGCTACTCTAATCCATGTTCAAAATTCCAATTATTATCTTCTTCTTTTAAATGTTATATGTATATCCCCAACCCTCAAATCAACCTTCTAGCTTTTCTTGCCTTTTATCATGGTCGACTAGTTGGGAAAAACATGTACCAAAAAATAAGAGCCAGATATGAATGCATATAAATTTTATTAATCAAGCTAGAAGAAGTTGTAATAAGATGACACAATTTCCAAGCCTAATACTTAGATCATCAGTTAGATCATATATAAATAGGTCAATTGCGATATACCTTTTATTGTATATTATAGTTTAAGTAAAAAATATGAGAAATAAAAGAATTGGCCTTTATATGGCCATTTTTTATTTATATTTTTATGGATCAAGCATGGAGCTAGAGTTAGACTTCAATTATTTTTTGGTGGAATTTTAACACCAGCTCACTTATATTGGATTCAAGTTGTTGTGCAAGAAAAAATATCAGTGAAATTAAGTATAATATAAATACCATTATTGTGCTTAAAAACATTTTACCATTACTATTGGTACACGTTATTGCAATGAAATTGTGCCTACCTAACTCGTTGGGCCCATTCACTTTCAAGTCTATGTAAAGAGATAAGCATGGTTAGCTAAGTAATTTAAGTCTAAAATAAGATTAATAATACTGCAAAATATAAGATCAATTTAGTTGTTTTGGTTAGTTTGCATTGCATAAAGCAATAGAAATGGGGTTTTGTCCACATCCATAACTAGCATTATGTTTGTGGACTAAATTACTAAAGTAGTATCAAACTCATTAAAATGGGATAATTGAGTTGGCATTTTTGGATGTGACTTACATAATTGATGGAGGAAAAAATATAAAAGTGGTCTTCATTGGAATATCTATCATTATATAAAAAGAATAACCTTTTTACAAATTTAGAAACTTTTTTCCGCCAAAATCATTAAATATATCCTAATATAGTAATTGTTGGACAAATCTGAATAGGCAAAAAAATCGGCTCATTTTTTTTAGTTTATCAAAACCGTTGTTTGACAATAAATATTTGTTTTTTTTTTCCTATTTTTAGTATACATCTACACGCTTATCTCTTCTGTTACAAAATCCCATTGCATACGATCTCACGTGTTTAAAAAATCTCATCCCTTATCTATACAGATTTAAAAAAAAAAATAAAATAGAAACTAATTCATAATTACTACTAGAAATCTATTATTTTTAAAAAGAAAAAATAAAATAAAATAAAAACTAATTCATAATTACTACTGGAAATCCATTATCTACTTTAAGAAGCTAATTTTCATCGGTCTAATTACTAATATTTTTACAAATATTATAAGCTAATCGGTCTAATTACTAATATTTTTATAAATATTATAAGCTAACCATACAAAAAGTATAATAATAATTTTGAAATGGTGTGTAATCAAATTTTTTTATATTCTCTTATACAAAATAATTTTACATTGTTTGACCCCGAATCTTTAATTTATAATTATTAAGTATTGTTTATCCTCCTCTTTAATTTATAATTATTTTTTTGCTTCCTCTTTTTAAATAGGAACAATAGTAGTTTCCACTTCCGTCATTGAGTGACTCAAACTCGAGGTCTATTTATAATATTATTAATTTAATATTGTTTCCGTGCATCGCACGGGGTATACACTAGTACTTAATTAAAAGTTCTGTAATTTTTTTAAATTCATCGATTGAAGAACAAATTTGATAGAAATAATTGATGGAGGAATTTCAAAAGGATGCCATAAATTGGAATCAAACTAATTAATGTCAAATTTGTAATTTTAAAATTGATAATTTTTTAAAAATCTAAATATGAATTAAAGGATGTGTAATACGTGTCAATTTCTGCCAACATTTGAATTTTCGGCCAAAATTATCCTCTTTTTTTTTTTTGGAAATTTGAACTTTGGCTGCAAGTTTATTGGGACACAAGCAAATGACGTGTCAATTTCCGAAGAGAATTATAATTTGTGGTAAAAAAAAATTCTCTAATTGGTCAACTTTAAAAATTATGAAATTAATATTAGTTAATTTGATTGTAATTGGACTACTTTTAATATACACGCATATCTACAAACTTTGTTTTTCTCTAAAAGTTGTTACAAAAAATTATTTTTAATTACCAAATCATGGCAAAAAGATTCAAACTCTTAAATGATTACTGATTTTGTTATAATTTACCTAAATCCGCTTTTGGGGGCTAAGTAGATCAACTTAGTTTTCCCACATAAGTAGTGAAAATGTTGTTCCCTTCACTCATTCATTCAAATATTGGAACTTATCTTGATTACAAAATGGGCCATGCGTATTGGTCTAAAAAGAAATTCCTCGAAAGGATAGAGGCCCATATATTCAAGGCCTGCTGGTCTAAGGTGAAATTTATACAGGAAATTACACCATACACCTTCAAATATGATTTATAATACATTTATATAACTATTATATTCTTATTTATAAAATTACTAAATCAAGCAAAAAATATTATAATTTTACCTAAGATGTGGACTAATATATGTAACTGTCTGTTAAGGAATTTTTGACAAATTAAATGCATTTGAGATCATTAATTGAGATTAAATATATACTTACCAAAACAATCGGACCAATATAAATCCTCTCTCTCTGTCTCTGCAAAACCACCATGTCGCCCCACGTTCAACTCTCTCTTTCTGCAAGAAACCTCTCCTTAAGTGGCGAAGACAAAAATCACCAGATCTACTCGAAAAAGACCTATTCGTCGATCCTCTGCAACAAGGCCACTATTAGAAAATTCTGTTGGGTAATTTCGGCTTCCTTTCGGCTCATGAGTGCGGGGTCATCGGACGGCCAACTTCAGCCAAGGGCGGTGGGAACTCGCGCTATTTGTCGGGCACTGGCGGCGGAGGGTCGAACACTGACGGAGTTTGCACAAGGCGGCGTGACGAGACGAAGGGTGTCCTCGCTTTTGACCGGTTGATTCGGAGACAAGCGACTACGGCCGTGGGCTCGTCTCGAGGAAGGCAGAGTCACAGTAGCCGATGACAATCCTACTTGTGAGCAGCGACAACATTTGAAGAGTTTTCGATGGGATTGTTTCACTGTTTGTTTTATGTTTTATGTATAGTTTATGTTTAGTATATTAGCAAATTTTTTTATTGACGAATGTTTGTTTCGGTCTGATTGATTTTATTCAGTATATTGTTAGTTTTTTGGGAGGAATGAGAATTGCTTATTTGTATCATTTTGTTTGTGTTCAGTTGATTTTCTGAGTCTACACTTTGTACTTTTTTTTTTGTTTTTTATTGTTCAATGAAAACTGTATGGTTTATTTCCAGTATATTATTAGTCATGTTTTACTTTTATCCATGATTTTTTTCTCATGACATTAACAGGATGACGTTCGACATTATGTAATAGTTAAAAATTTTCAGTATATTACCAATATATTTTTGGTATATTTTTCTCATGACATTAACAGGAAGACGTTCGATAGTATATTATCAGTATATTTTCGGTATATTCTGGCGTTAAAGATTTAAAATCATGGTTTATATTCAGTATATTTTTGGTATATTCTCAAAGGAGCAATGTTTTAAAAAAAAAACCCGATATATATCATTTTTTAATGTTATATATACCATTAAAAATAATTAAAAAAATGATATATATACCATTAAAGAAAAACCGATACATATACCATTAAAAAACTAAAAAAACCCATTTAATGAATGATCGAAGATAGAACAAAAAATATAAAATAAAAAATTGAACATGGAAACATATTCCGATCAAGAAATATACCTCTCTATCTATTATATTTTTTCTTTTTTGTTCTTCTATTACATGAAAACCTGATTTCCCACTCCAAACACAATCATAGGATGCACCTGTCGATCAAAACTGTCCATATTATTTTGGAGATATAATCATTCTATACATGAACCAGATTTTTTCTGTATTGTGGTATATGTACAGTATATGTACGGTATATGTTAAAGCAGTATATAGGCGATGAAGATTTCCTGAAATTTCGTACTCTTTGCCCGATTTCTGCTCCTCGCGCAACGATGCTTGACCTGATCAATTTGAAAGGGCCTATCCGATCTGCCCGGATCGAATTACTTCTCCTCTTGGGATTTCACCGTCGTCCCTGCAATTTCGTGGTGTCTACTGTGGCGGGATAGGTCTATCCGATCTGCCCGAATTGAATTACTTCTCGTATTGAGATTTCACCGTTGTCCATGCAATTCGCCGAAATCTAATGAGACGACGATAGAATGGTGGCCCACAATCTCGCCCTCAATATCTGCAAGTTTTTTTTTTATGGAAACGAACGAGAATCACACTAANTTGTGGAACGAACGGGAATCACAGCAAAGAGAAGTAACATATTTTAGGCATTACTTCAATTAAATGGCATATGTTAGGTACATACACAATTATTTATATTTAGATGGTATATGTGTAATATTTTCTATATCACGTAGGAGAACTGAAAATACCCCTAATTTATATTAAACAAGACGAGTTGACCCGTTTAAAGCCTGACCCAAAAATTTAGGTTTACTTATCGAATTTGTGGTCAGAGTATGTTCAGCTTAATTTGGGAGCTTTTAAAACTTTGAGCTCTCGATTTCGCTTACTTAAATGAGCCGAGCTCGACCTGGTAACCGAACAGCTCGTTTTTTATTTGTTATGGGATATATATATGAAATAGATAAGTCGAACTTGTTCATGGATGCAATCATTAGGAATTTAGGTTTATTAAACAACCCGAGCGGGCTTGTTTGATTAAAAAAAGCACGAGCTCGAAACCGGGCCAGGCCTGGACCCATTGACTGGCCATGTCTAGAAACGACGTCGTTTTGATTAAAAATTAGACTTTTTCCATTTGAGCCGGACACGTGTCAGCAAGGCAAGGCTACACGTACACCCTCTTTTTTATAAGATAAGAGAATAAGAAATGAATGCTTGTTAAAAGTTAAAAAGTGTTCATACCTTAGATCAAACTGAAAGTTATGCCTCATGTAATCCTGCTACCAAAAAATGAAAAATGAAAAATGAAAAAATAAAAAGAAAGAAAGAAAGCCAGGAAAGATTAACAAAGTTAAGTTATACATTTTGTATCTCACAATTATGATCTCTAACATATGTCTAATACAACTCAAATGATTCACACATTCAGTTTTGTTTTGATTCATTGATTTTGTGATAGGGGGGAAAATCTATTGAGAAGGTGGTGATTAATCTGACTTTAGAAAGTCAAAAGAAGAGTTTGATCCTGGCTCAGAAGGAACCATAGCGTTGCACATGCCTTCTCGAAAGACATTAACTCTGAAAGGAAAATCGGCGAACCAGCGTTCGTATTTTGCCACATACGTGGGTTCGGGCCTCCAAGGCCTGTCAGATCTCTCTTAGAATGATTGTCTCTTCTTTTCGCAAGAACAAATGGGCTCTTTCGTCTTTCTTATTTGATTATCAATCTAATAAAACGTTATTGTGTGTATCAATCCTTACATCGCCTAGTTTTGGTATGTTGGGATATATGATAATTGCCGAACCAAATTCCAACATTGCATTTGCTGGTAAAAGAGTAATTGGACAAACATTTACTCTTCAGTTTTCTGTTGACATCTATCTTGTAAAGGTACTCAAATTGGATCTGGCGAATACTACCCAGGATGGGCTAAGCAAGCGAGCTATCTATGCATCTGAAAGCAAGCCTTCAACGACACTAGAGGCCAAGCACTCTACCACTTTCTTTACCCACAGATCAATTAGTATTATCATCTCTCTCATAGAAAATTTTAAGACTATAGAATAAAAAGAACATGGGGAAAATAACTTGCTTTAGTTGCATTACAGTTTAATTATCAAATAATTCTGCAGCTGGCATATTGCTTATGACTGCCATGCATTGTTATTGATAATTATAATGGGAGAAAACACAAAGCAAGGAATGATACTTAATGACAAATCAACAATCTAACGTACAAGATGGGCTTTAGACCAACGTACAAGATAATGGATAACATCACAGGACACAAAAGAACTCTTACGACCATAGTTGGGACTTTGATCTCGTATCTGCCCCACTCAGATAATAAAGCACTACTGAAAATATATATAATACATTGTTTAGCCTAATTATATTAGGTTTAGTAAAGTTGCTTTTGTATGTTGATGATGTTATAATCTGTGGTGACAACTTACCTGCCATTCAAGCTGTTAAGCAACATCTTCATTCTTGCTTTACTATTAAGGATCTAGGTAAGCTTAAATATATATTAGGGCTGGAATTTGTTCATTCTGAAAATGGAATAAACATGTGCCAAAGAAAATATGCACTTGACATACTTCGAGACACTGGTTTTCTGGGTTGCAAGCCAGCCTTAACACCAATGGATCCTACATTAAAATTAACAGCCTACTCTGATTCTGATACACTAACTGATGCATCTGCCTATAGAAGATTAATTGGAAGGCTTATTTATTTGACCATTTCTAGACCTAACATTGCATATTGTGTACAAAGTCTCAGTCAATTCATGTGCAAACCTACAAATGTTCATCTTTCAGCTGCACATAGAATACTTAGATACATTAAAGGTTCAGTTGGTCAAGGGATTATGTTTTCCAGAACATCTGCTCTAACATTGTCTGCTTATAGTGACTCTGATTGGGCTAGCTGTGTCAATACAAGGAGAAGCATCACAGGTTATTCTATCTTTCTTGGCAAATCATTGGTCTCCTGGAAATCCAAGAAGCAAACAACAATCAGCAGATCTTCAGTAGAATCAGAGTACAGAGCTTTGGCATCTACTTCATGTGAAGTCCAGTGGCTACTTTACCTGCTTGCTGACCTCAACATTCCACATCACAGCCCAGTTCCTCTTTTCACTGACAGCAAATCTGCAATGGCAATAGCATGCAACCCAGACTTCCATGAGAGAACCAAACACATCCCACTTGACTGTCATCTCATAAGGGAAAAGATATCACAAGGCATTGTCTCGTTGCACTACATCCCCACTGCAGACCAACCAGCTGACATCCTTACCAAGGCACTACCAGGCCCTGCCTTCAATCATCTCAAGTCCAAGCTAAACATCAACAATATTCATGTTTCGCTTGCGGGGGGTGAAAATATATATAATACATTGTTTAGCCTAATTATATTAGGTTTAGTAAAGTTGCTTTTGTCTCATATAAATAGATGAGACCAGATTGTACAAACACAATTTTCGATCATTATTTTCATTATCCTTTCACATTCTCTCGTCTCTTTCTCTCCTCTTTCATCTTTCTGTATCTAATAACTATAGTTTATAAAATTGTTAAAAATACATTAATCCAAACGTATTTTAAATGCACAGTCGAGACAAAATCTAGAATGGGATTTCAAAATACTTTTAAAATGAAACTTGGATAACTTGTCGAGACAAAATCTGGAATGGGATTTCAAAATACTTTTAAAATAAAACTTGGATAACTTGTTTATGAAAAAAAAAATCTCGTGCATTCAGAGTGCACATCATAGTTATTCATATTGATGTGCACTCTGAATGCACTCTGAATGCACAAGATTTTAACTATACCTCACCTTTTTTAAGTATGATGTGCACTCTGAATGCACTCTGAATGCACGAGATTTTAACTACATATGTTTAGCCGCAAAAATCCAGCCTGGACAACTGCCCAGGCTGGCCATAGTGTAAATCCGCCCCTGGGTAAACCCGAATGATTGGGTTTCGCCGCAGTGGTGGAGGCAAGTATAAAGTAGCCCAGGTGGCATAATTTCCACTAGTTTTATTATAAAGTCTTTAGACTTTTGTCAGTTCTTGGTTGTCCGGTTCATTAAAAAAAATAAAAAATAATTAAAAATTAATATATATATTTTTTTTTAAAAAAGCCGAACCTCGGGTTCCGGTTCCAGTTCGGACCGAAACTTCCAGTTCAAAATGTATAAACTATAAAGTATTGTACATGAACCGAACTAGTCAAAACCACGAGCCGGTTTAAGACCCATGGTCAACAAGTAAGACGTATGAAAATAACTCATTTAATAAAATGGATTAAATCTGACTAACAATAAAATGGACTATTTTTAAATAGGAAAGAAAGCTATTGGTAATAAATTACTAATTGATTGAACAGATAGTATATTTGCAAATTACATTCGGTAGTATTGAATTGAAAAAAGTACATTAGGAGTGTGTTCGTTGGTACTAGTCCGAGGGTGGCCTCTTGGTTAGGATTTTGTCTTCGGCTCGGGGCTCGATAATCCGTGGCGGAGTTTCTAGGTTTTGGACCGGGATTGGATCCTTATTGGGTAGTCATCTTGGGTGTTGACTTGTTTGAGGGCTCTAGGCGAGTTGTAGACGATGGTACAGAAGGCTTTTTAATCTAGATATTGTTTTATTTTATTTTGTGTGCTTGTTAGTGTGTTCTTTTTCTTTTTTCTCCTTGTAGAAGTGCATTTTTTGTAGTCTCCTTTCGTGGTGCTAGTCTCTCTATTGGAGTTTTATAGTCTTATAGGTGTGTGTTGGTTTTGACCATTTGGACCGATGTCGTCATGTGGTTGTGTAAGGGAACAGTTTGGTTTTCTTTCTAGTTTAGGTTAGTAAGGGTTATCAAATGTAATCCGTCGATTACCGATTTGTACTTTTGAGTTGTGGTAATGAAATTAGAGATGTTAAATGGTACTTGACCCGACGGGCCGGCCCGTTTAGCCCGAAAAAAAACAGGGTTAGGGCATTTTATTGGCAGCCCGTTTAAATCCGAACTTTTTAGGCCCGAACCGTTTAGCCCGAAGCCCACTAGGGCTAGCCCGATTAACTTGGATTGGGTGGTGTATATGTTTTTAGAAAGGTAAGGAATATGTCTCATGATTCCTTGTATATTACAATTTTATTATTTTACTTCACATATAATTATGAGTTATAATGTATTATTATTATTATTATTTTGATAGATAATTATTAACAAATTTTATTCTATTTCACACAAACTATTTAAGCCAATCAGAACGACGAATAAAAATAAGATGAGACAAAGACCTAACACATAGAATATAGTGATAGAATATAAATTCAGCAGTATGCTATATTGTGAAAATTCCCGAAGCATACGAAATAACTAGTCAAATGGTAGTTATAAGTAATAATTCGAACATTTATTTTTT